TGCCCTCTACTATATGAGCAATTTTAAATTTATACCTGTTTTGAAATTACCAAGGAAAAATGTTACTGTTTTCTTCATGATAAACTTCTTAAGAAATGGATTGGTTTAAAACCGGGCATGGTGGAGCATGCCTGTAATCCCAGCACTCACGAGGCTGAGGCAGGAGGATCAATGTGAGTTCGAGACCAGCCTGGGCTGCATAGTGAGTTCCAGGTCAGTCTCAAATACATAGCGAGACCCTGTCTCAAAAAAAAAAAACTATAAACAAACAAACAAACAAAAACTGAGGTTCAAAATGTAAAAGGAGTCCTTCTAAGGAACTACATAGATAACTTTCCCACATTTTTAGTTTATCATTTATGAGCCCACAAGTAAATTATTCTCTAAACTCAATACATCTAATGTTCCTTTTCAATTGCTAATCAATAAGATGCTATTTCTAATCATTATTGCTGAACATTAAAATGTAAGGAAAATTATTATATCTCACTAATTCTCTAAAAGGAGAGATTATTAAAGCAAATAACATGTGAAATTAAATTTTTAACAGAACTTACTGAATTAGAAGTCCATAAAATGATTTTCTATGTATGCTTAGATTTCTCCTGCAATTTGTATAATTTTGGACAAATCATATGACCACTAAAATGTCACTCATCTTATTATTTAATTGCACCAATAGCAACAAAACAAACTGAAAAGTTGCTAAGGCACTTCAATAAAATAATTTGTGAAACTTGCTTAGCACAGTAGTAGAATAGCAAGAAAAAACAGTTTTCAACAAATAGTCAATTATTATTATTATTATGACTTTATTTTTACAGTAAGTGTCCAACTTATAAACTACTTCCATTCAAGGAGACTTGTTTGTAAGTCAGATTCATCTGTAAGCAGACAGTGAGTATTATATAGTACACCTGCGAATGTTTACAATTTCAGTATTTGTAAGTCAGAGATTTAATGAGATAAAAATATTCCTCATATATAAGTTGACAGGAATACAAGTATTAATATAAATAATATATACAGTGTCGAGGTTAGTTTGATTTTAACATGCTTGAATTTTCCAATTTGTTTAAAAATGTTCTGGATCTTAAATATAAACCTAATATTCCTCAAAAGATTAGAAAAGCAATAAATCTGAAGTTAAGAGAAGGAAATAGTCATTATCTGAGCAGAATTAAAAGAAATAAAGTATAGGAAAATTATATACAATGTTGATGAAATTAATAGTACATTAACTGAAAAAAAAGAAAGCACAGACTAGAAGAAAAAGAGGAAATAGTGAAATAAATAATATTAGAAATAGGAAACATAACAGCCAATTTCACAGAAATGGAAAAAGTTATAAGGAACTATTACGAATAATTATATGCCAACAAATTGGGCAACCCAGATGAAATGGACAAATTTCTAGTAACACAATAACTGGACAGTACAGAAATAAGAAGAAATGGAAAGCCTAAAAAGAATTAAAATATAAAAACGTGTTAACAATCAAAACCCTTCTAACATAAGAAAGCCCAAGGCTAGATGCATTCACATGTGAATTGTTTTTAAATGTTAAAAAAATCAATATCAATTATTCTCCCAAAATTGGAGAAGGGAATTTTTCCAAATTCTATTCAGCCAGCATTAACTTGATAGCAAAGCTAGAAAAAGACATAAGAAAACTACAAGAAATTACTGATGAACTTAGGTGCAGATAGTATCAACAAAAATTAGCAAGCTTAATTCAAGAGCACATCAAAAGAAGCATATATCACCACCCAAGTGAGATTTATCATAAGTATACAAGAGTGATTTAAAAAAAAATTATGTACCATGTTAACAAAAGAAAGATGAAAACCATGTGGTCATCTAAGCATACACAGAACTGCATTTGATGGATTAAACTTATTTTCATGATAAAAACTCTCAAATATTAGGCGCAGGTGAAATTTATCTCAATATAATAAAAATCATGTGTATAACATCCATAGGTATCATTATACTAAATGGCAAAAACCAAATTTTCTTCTAGGTCTGATAAAAGTTAAGAATTTTCACTCTCACCACATCTACTCAACATAATAAGTCTTTGCCAGAGTGTTTTGGCAAGAAAATGAATTAAAAGTTTTGCAACTGACATGATATTATTTCTATAAAAACCTAAGGACTCTACAAAGCAAATTGTTAGAACCAATATACAAATTCAGCTAAGTTAAATGTTACAAATAAACATAAAAATAAGCTACATTTCTGCAGTGACTGAGTTAACCATAAATAATCTGAGAAAATGTACCAAGGAACCAATCCCAATTAATAATCACTTCAAAAAGAATAAAATACTTAGAAATAAATTTAACCAAGGATGTGAAATTTTTGTACACTATAAACTGCAACACACATATGAAAGGAAATGAAGCAGACACATTTAATGGATGTCCCATTTTCAGGGACAAGAAGAAATATTGCCAGAATGTTCATATTACAGAAGGAGATGCATAGATTTGACATCCAAATTCCAAATAAATTTTTCACAGAATTCCACCACCCTCCAAAACTCCTGAATGTCATATGGAACCTCAAAATACCATGACTAAGCAAGCTATATTGAGAAACAAGAAAAAAGGTAGAAGCATCACATTTCTGAATTTCACAATATATTATGAATTTACAGTATTGAAAAGGTTATGATACTGGCACAAAATTGAACATGTAGACAATAGCATTCATCTATAAGGGTTGTAGCGATGAAGAGATGTTCACCAAATGGTGTTAAGAAAATAAGGCATTCATATGTAGAATGAGTGAAATTTGATTATTCAACACCACACAAAATAATCAAATTAAAATGAATAGAACAAAATTGTTAAGACGTGATGCCGTAAAACTCCGAGAAGAAAAATTAAGGATGAATCTTCTGAACGTTGGCCTTGGCAAGGATTTCTTGGATGAGTGTCTAAACTTATTTAATTGTATCATTTAGGGCCTAGGGGTGTAGCTCAGTGTTAGAGCACTACTTTAGCATACATGATGCTCTGGGTTCAATACCCAGTATCACATAAATATTATCCTTTATATTTGTGCAATTTACTTTATAGTAATTGCATCACAAGCAGACTACTAAATTATATCACTGATTTTTTCCATACATTAAGAATCAAGAATGAAATTCTGCTCACTGATAGATAGCTCATGTAATAGTATTAAAAAAAGAAAGTGGTTAAGAGTTTGTCCAGAAAAAAATAATTAGATTAGCAAGATTGTTAGTTGATAAAAGGAAATTAAATTGCCTTACATAATAAAAGAATAGTGGATAGAAATTTCCCTTAGATAACAATACTGGGATAGTAACAACACTGGAATAAAATACTTTCAGAACTCAGGGAAAATATTAGGTGGGCAAGTGCTTTTAACAGAAAAGAGTCTGACTTTTTTTTCTGAAAAAGGCTATATAGTTGTGGGACAATAATTTTTGATATTCAAGGTACTGTGCATTTTCCTCTTTCCTACATGTCCTCTACACATCCCCAAATTTTATTGAAATTGCTTTATAGATATACAAAACAAAAATGTTTATTGCCTTGACTATATTAAAAATAATTTTACTAAATTCACAAATTCTATTTACAAATTACTTTTATCTTATTCCCCAATTCATAAACTGATTGCCCTGACAGTGTTACTGAAATCTGTCTTCTAGTATAGCTTGTGACCGTCCAAGAAACAGGAAGCATGAAAGTATTGTCAAGCTTCATGTTACATTTCTGTACTTTTAGTAAAATCAATGTCTTTCGAATTTCCTCTGCTAAACATTTTTCTCTTTGTATCATTTTTTCTTTTTATGATTGCATTATTTAATTACAGAGAAATAACTGCTTAATTATACAGTTGAAAATCTATATAAAAGTGGAAGAGGAATGAAAAGATGAAGCTCCTCTTGCCTGATATATAGATGAATAAACTGAAAGATCATCTTCCATTATTCATTTCAATTTTTGATCATTAAGGTGTGCTTTGATTTTTCAAGCTTCTAAATTTTAAATTCTCCATTTTCATCTCTTGATCAAATTATGTTTCTTTTAGCATCAGTGAAGCTCAAGCTACTCAAATTACCATTTTCGCAGTTAACATTCATCCCAGATTACTTGTAATATGTTAAATCTTTACGACTAGGATTATGTTGGAAGTGGATTATAGGCAGACAACAGATTCAGGACCTGTCATTCATCTTCTCTGGAGAGCTCATTAACCTTTCAAGGTTTGTACATGATTCGATAATTATGTTGCAATGGGTTTTTTTTTTATCTTCTATTTCATTAGGTTGCTCCTTTCTATAGCACTCTATGAAGATGGCATTCATTTGAGTTGGCAAAGCAATTGAAAACAGAAAAAAAGCAACCTACAAAGAAAAACTATTTCTCCAATCACGATCTATGACTAATTTTGCCTTCAGGCATGGTAGGAAGAAAACATCAGGGCTTCATATCCATACAGAATGATAATCAAAACATTTGAAATAATGAAAAGGTCCTAAATGTGTCTTGCATTATTATTTTTATAACTCTTAAAAACAAAACAACAACAACAAAAAAAAAACTAGGATTTTTTTAAACAGCGCTAATTCATGCTTTTATATCATCTATAAATTTCGCTTCAATGCACATCTGTACATATTTTTGCTTGTCTTAAACTTAGAGTTGGTGAACACTTGAAGTATGAATATAATTTATTTGAATTCTTGTTGCTGATTATTTTATGTTTTTTAGAAAATATTTCAAAACTTAAAAACATGAAAAGAAAACCGTGCTAAGGAGTCCTTTCACTGAAAACACTTGGAGAACACTTTTTAAAAACTTACTGAATCTTACTGTCAAATCCACCCAAACTGATAGCCCTTTATTGTACTAATCTCCTCTGCTCAAGCTCAGATATGGGTACTTGTTGCCACAATGTTATGAGTTAATGACTTGGCCCCTGGGATAACACTACTTGCATTTGGAAATGCTGTGGACCTTTAAGAGGTGAATCCAGTGCGATGACCGCCAGTCACTTGAGGTATTCCATGAAGTGGGTTGAGCAACGATTGTTCTCCTGCCCCTCCTTCCTGGCTCCAGAGGCTACATTTGCACGCATGCAGGAGCTTGGGGTGCACTGCCCTCTGCAAAGACAAAAACCAATGAAGGAACTCCCTAATTTCCAAAACCGTGAACCAAAATAAGTTCACTTTCCTTCATAAGTAGACCGTGTGGGGATTTTGTTATTGTAATGTGAAGCTGCCCTTTATTTTCACTTATGGAAACATTATCTTCCGAAGGCTGTAAATCAGATATGAGTGAGAACTGAGGAATAGATTTCCTGTCTTCCAGCGGCTAGACAAATTCTGGGAATAAAGTAAGTACGGTATATATTTTAATCTCTCTAATAACACATTCAAATTAAATTTGTCACAAAACTTCCAAGTAAAAATTTAAATATGATATAATTCCCTTTATGATTATTAAAGCAAACAGTATATGGAATAAGGACAGAATTCATGAGGAAATATCTGCTTTTCCCAAATTAAGAAACTGTATCAGTTTCTTTTCTATGATTTGAAAAAAACAATCTGGTTACGTATTTCCATTATTTGCCTTGTAAATTTAAGTTTTAAAGTTTCTTCTTCCTCTTCATATCCCTGCTCTTTTCCCCCTCTGTTCCTTTCTCTCTATACGACTTATTGATTTCTATACAGTTCCAATCCACTGTGCCAAATTCTTCTCAGAGCCAATACTTACATAAAATTTAAAAATCCATTTTCTCAAACTAATATATTTCTTGGGTAAGTGCAACTCAAAATCGATGTTACACAATGAATTCCAGTCTCCTACCAATTCACCATTCACATTTCATATATCATGAATATTTTACATATTATAAACATTAACATATAAAAACACAACATGTGGCCTGGGTAACTGTCAAGTGTTGTCATCACACAGGCAAAGAACAACAACAAGAGAAAAAAAGGAGTTAAAATATAGATCCAAATAATAATTATCAACATAAATACAATTTCCATTAGGACAATAGGCTATCTTCTGATTTCAAGGCTGGAGTTTATTTTAATCTCTGATTTCATTGCTGTTATTCCTATTATTATCTCATCTTTGATCATCTCTGTCTCTTACCTTCCTCCTCCATTACACCACCCCCAAACTCTCACTGTTACACGGCTGCAGAATACGTATATGACAACTTTTGTAACATGTGAAGCCTCTTAGTTGAGTATTGTCTCACATGAAAACAAAAGCACACTGACCTAGTGAAGTTTTCTTTATCATTTAAGGAAATAAATATGAAAATGTTGGATGCATTGTGAAATATAATAAATACATGTGTTGCATTTGGAAATAATATTCTCTGTCTTCTTGAATGTAACTTGCTGAGATACCAGAATTAATAATGTTTACTAACCATTATAGGCTGAATTACATATATCTTCAAATTTATATGTTGAAGTTGCAACTCCTAATATTTCAAAATGTGGCTATCTTGAGAGAAGTAATTAAGCTAAAATAAGAGGTGATTAAGTTAACATAAGGTGGAAAATGTGGTCCAAAGCTACTGATGAACTCTTGAAAAAGGTAACTTGAGCATAGACAATTACACTGGGCAGATGTTGAGTAGACTCAAAGACGCTAGACATCTAAAAGTCTGATAACTTCTGAGCGAAAACATTCCCAGGGTCCCCCTTAGGAACCAACACAGCCACGACCTGGATCTAGTATTTCAATCTCTGAGACAAGTGAGAAAATAAATTTCTGTTGGTTAAGCAACCTGTTCATCAATTTTCTATTACGACAGTACTTGCAAGCTAAATACGTGTACATAAAAGAAAATTACTCAAACTGGCTAATGTAAAAGTGATTATTGTAAAGGCCAATATATAAATGTGTGGAGAGTAAATAAAGCTTTGTTTCATGAAAAAAATGTCAGTAGAGTGATACTTCCGTTTCGCTGTATGTGTTTCACTTATTGTTCATATTAAGTATATCCTGTTGCCTTTCTGATCAAAGTCTAAATAGTTAAACAGAATTGGCTCCATAAAGTTTTGGCAGGAAAGGCTTTTTAAAAGGGTTAAAAATTTATGAATGCTTTGGAGGAACTAGAACCAAGGCCATTGAAAAACAGTGCTCCACAAAAACCAAGAAGTTTAAAGAATCACAAAACTGGGCCTTTTGTCTCGGCTCATTTAATTTATGACATGTTGGATTAACTGGAGATGATAGAAGCTACTGAAATAGGTTATCTCTGCTGTATCAAAAATTCCCTTTTTCCAGAGCAGCCACAGTTTTCCTTATATATCTGTTATCTAAATCACATGTACTTTCACGTAATTAGCAGAAACTGGGAAAAAAATCTGCAAAAACATATTTTCCTGAATTTTAACCTATGATGATGGAAATCTCTCTTATTTGCTTCATTATTTATATGCCTCTGTTTAACATTCCAACTCAACTGTTCACTGAAACAGTCAAACGACACTGAAGATGTTCTAAAACGATATGTGCTTCACCAAAGCTCTCTGCAGCCAGACACCAAAGGTCCAACAGCTACCAGGAATAGTCTCAGCCACTTCTTTTCATTTGTGAAATTTGAAAGACACCTTAGAATTCTATGTTTTTGGACTCACCACTTCCCATTTCTATCCCAACACTCCCAATCTCATCTCCAATATTTTGTTTAAAAAGTAAAAATCCAGTGCATTACCCTCTTTGTTGTTACAAACCCATCAGACTTATCCCAGGACTGACAGATCATGCTTCATGCCTCAACATTACATTTCTGTACAGTTCTTTGTTTTGCCTTGTACTGGGAGAAGCGTCTAAAACAACTTCTGCTATGTCTTTTCTACTTAGTTTATTTCAGTGTCTCTTATAATCATCTAACTTTCATATTCTCTGTCTTCTTGAAAATAATTTTCTGAGATTCCAGAATTAATGTTTTAGTACCCATTATAAACTGAATTGAATCTTACTTCATTTTATTTATCTGTTTATCAGTTGTTCTTTCCTAATTATAATGTCAGTTTTATGATGCAAAGAATTCGTGATGTTTTAAAATGTTTTTGTCATTTGTGGCTATCTCCTCAGTATATAGAATAGTTTAACATGCAGTTAGAGTTCCTAAAATATTTAACATAGCTATGAAATACTGAAATACTAACTTTAATATTGGCCAGAAGTCTCTATGATTTTTGGTCTTTTGTATTTTAAAAGCAGGATTTGAATGATGCAAAATAGCTCTTTATTCGGACAGTTGTCTCCTAAATAGATCACAATCCAATAGGTTATTCCAATTCAATTCTTCCAGAATTAAAATTAAAGCACCATCCTGTATGGTACCAGGAATGCTTCCTCAACTTAGTTAGGTGCAGCATTGATCTAGGAGATTTTGTTTGTGGATAAAAACAAAATAAAAATATGCTAACTCAACTTAAAATATGTGTGCCCTTCCCAATCTGTGTTGAAAGTGACCCAACCTACTGCAAAAGTGAGACACTGGGACACAGAGTCATGAAAGGACAGGCTGGGAACAAACACTATGCAAGTGAATTTACTCTCTTTTAATCCAAAATGTGTAGCTTTGGAGGAATGCATTAGTGCCAAATTTAGTCATCATAATCTCCAACAAGGTTATTAATTTTCTCTAAATATTGCTGTTCATTAAATAATTTAGGACAAAATGCAAGAAAGTAGTTGATATTGTTTATGCTTTATAAAGGAGAATTCTACAATTTTCACAGAAAATTATGAAAAAAAACCCAATGTTCTTTATTTTATTTTTTACTTTTTAGTTTTTGGTACTGGTGATTGAACTCGGAACCTTGAACTTGCAAGGCAGGCGACAATCCAATATTCTTAAAAATATTGGATTAATTGTCTGGATACAAGTTACTTATGAATAGATTTGGTGACCATTTATGCTGTATGTATTTTGACTTGTTTGCTTCAGATAAGAGCTAAATAAAGCATGTGATTTAGGACTAATATAAAAGTTTACCTGTTTTATGTATTTGTACATTTTAAAAATTAATTCTCTTGGTACATGCTGGTTATACAATATAACGACATTCATCATTGGAAATTTGTAATGTTACATAATCTATCTTGATTCTTATTTTCCCCCATTCCCCTATGCTTCCTTCCATCCCTCCACCTCTCCCTATTTGCAAAGACTTTGTTTCAATTTTTTCATATTCTTATATTAATTCTTTTTCCTTCTTTCTGTTCCCCAATCCCTCCCACTTCCACCTCCCCTTCCAAATTTTTCTTCCTATTTCACTTTATTTATTATGGCTTTTGATTTTTATTTACACTTTCAGTTTCTCAAACCAGAGACACCATTTGTTACTTAGACATGTCTGTCCTATTTATTTCACTTGATAGTATGGTTTCAGTATGCATCCATTTAGCAATAAATGTCTCTAATTTCTCCTTCTTTATGGCTGAGTAGTACTCTATTTTATAACAAAATATTTTCTTTATCCAGTCTCCAGTCAATGTGCAATTAGGTTGTTTCCAAGGTTTAGATATTACAAACTGTGCTGTTATGAACATGGGTGTGCACATATTACCGTGGTATGATTCTTTCAATTCTTTTGAGAAGATACCCAGTAGACAAATCGCTGGGTCAAATGGAACCACTAATCTTAGTTCTTTGAAGTGTCTCCATAGTGGGAGCTCTTCTAATTGAAAAGATTCTGCACAAGAGAAACCACCAACAGCATGAAGAAACAACCCACAAAGTGGGAAAAATTTTTATCAGCTGTTCCTCAGACAAGTCTACTACCTAGAAAATATAAAGAAATTAAAAATTCAGACCTCACAAATTTAAAGACCCAATCCAAAAATGGACATCTGAAATCAACAGACATTTCTCAGACAAAGAAGTAGAAATAGCAAATAAACATAAAAAATGTTCAGCATCACTGGTCATTTAAGAGATTCAGATGAAAACAGTGCTGAGATTCCACCTCACCCCAGAAAGCATGGCTGCTCTCATGACATCAACCAATAACAAATGCTGGTGGGCTGTGGGAAGAACTTTCTCCACTGCTGGTGGGAGTGTAGACTGGTGCAACCACTGTGGAAATCAGTATATATTTCTACATTTAAA